TAACCACTAACCCTTCACTAAAACTGCCCCCTGACCACTAACCCTTCACTAAACTGCCCCCTGACCACTAACCCTTCACTAAACTGCCCCCTGACCACTGACCCTTCACTACAAACTGCCCCTAACCACTGACCCTTCACTACAAACTGCTCCCTGACCAAAGCGCCATGGAAGGCGTCAGCCGGGATGAGATCATCAGAGTATTGATACCAGCTCCCCATTCTCATTTTAGCCTCACTTCTGCTAACGATGGGTAACACAGGAATTTATCTTCATAAAAAATAAAGACAAACCATTGGAAGTGAATTTAGAAATGTCTTCCTCACCTGTTTGTCCAAATAGCCTTTTCCCTCAGGATCAGCTAAATCCCAAATCTGTCAAACACAAAACAATAAATCCTCAGTGTGTGGTTCCATCTTCACTGCCCAACCTTCCCACCATGGGGTTGGTGCCACCGCACCGCTGGTCTAATCCCCGAAATAAAAACTCATTTAGCAAAACATAAAGCTTTGATTAATCTTTAGATTGACCCTAACCTCCCATAGATGGAAGGCGACTGGATGAGAACCATTTTGGACTCGATGGAACCAGTGATTCTGAGGAAGATGGCCGGTCTGCTTTGAAGGCTAAGCTTAAAACTCTCCAAGCAGCGGGAGCTAGCGGTTCTTCAACCATTCTTCCCTCTAGATGTCAGTATTTCATTGTTTTCTTAGGTTCAGCTTGGAAAGAGCTTAATTAACTAATTATAAACATCCTTCACAGCTGGCAGCCCGCAGCTAGCAGTCTTTAGCCTGCAGCTAGCAACCCGCAGCTCGCAGCCCGCAGCTAGCAGTCTGCAGCTAGCAGCCGGCAGCTAGCAACCCGCAGCTAGCAGCCCGAAACCAGCAGCCCGCAGCTAGCAGCCTGCAGCTAGCAGTCCGCAGCTAGCAGCCTGTAGCAAGCAGTCCACAGCTAGCAGACCGCAACTAGCAGCCCAAAGCCAGCAGCCTGCAGCTAGCAGTCCGCAGCTAGCAGCCTGCAGCTAGCAGTCCGCAGCTAGCAGCCTGCAGCTAGCAGTCCACAGCTAGCAACCCGCAGCTGGCAGCCCGAAGCCAACAGCCTGCAGCTAGCAGCCTGCAGCTAACAGTCTGCAGCTACCAGCCTGCAGCTACCAGCCTGCAGCCTTAAGCCTGCAGCTAGCAGCCTGCAGCTAACAGTCTGCAGCTACCAGCCTGCAGCTACCAGCCTGCAGCCTTAAGCCTGCAGCTAGCAGCCTGCAGCTAACAGTCTGCAGCTACCAGCCTGCAGCTACCAGCCTGCAGCCTTAAGCCTGCAGCTAGCAGCCTGCAGCTAACAGTCTGCAGCTAC